TACAGCGGGAATCCCTCACGCTTGCGCGACATGGAGGGCACAATAGGACAACACCAAAATAAAACATACAACTCATACCAATCTAGATCATCAATCAACCCAAAGACAAAAGATATCTACTCAAAACGTCATAGGATAGCAACACATCATTGGATCATAATATGTGTCATAAAGCAACATGTTCGAGTAGGGATTATAGAGGGACGCGGGAGAGTGGACATCGTAAAAGAGATGAGGATGGTGATGTTGATGAAGACGTTCACCGCGACGATGATTCCCCTCCCGATGGCACTCCGTCACCACCGAGAGAGAGGAGGAGAGGTTCTCCCCCTTGTGCTTCATCCTCCATGGCCTCCCCCCTGGATGGGGAGAGATTCCCCCTCTGGTCCTTGGCCTTCATTGTGATGATGGCCCCTCCAAGATCCTTCCCCATAGCCTCCGGTGATGATGGCCCCCTCCGGCAGGGTGCCAGAGAGGGCCTATATTGATTTCTTGTGGCTACAGAGGCTTGCGGTGGCGGAACTTCCGATCTAGGTTATTTTCTGGAGGTTTGGGTATTTATAAGAGAGGTTGGCGTCGAGAACAAGTCAGGGGGCCCCACGGGAAGTCCACAAGGCACAAGGGCGCGCCCCAGGGGGGTGGGCGCACCCTCCATCGTCATGAGGCCCACGGGACTCCCCTCCGATAACTCTTTGTTCTAGTATTTTTTATATTTTCCAAAAAAATCTCCGTTGATTTTCAGCGCATTCTGAGAACTTTTATTTCTGTGCAAAACCAAAACCACGGCAGTTCTGCTGAAAACAGCGTCAGTCTGGGTTAGTTCTAACCAAATCATACCAAAATCATATAAAACTATTGTAAACATGGCATGAATACTTCATAAATTATAGATACGTTGGAGACGTATCAAGCTTCACACCTAGAATGGAGGTAAACTTCCATCATGCCTTAGAAGTTTGCATGATAGTATTACGAGTAGCCCTCAAGGTGCACACCGGCACAAAAGCCGGTACGTGTCGCGAGTCTATGTAGTTTTACTTACCACTTTCGCGCATTGAAGCCACGAGTCACATCTGGCTTGGGACAATCCAGTCTGTTGGTCGTTTAACTTAGACTTAGCAGAAAAACTTTGGTGCAATCTCTCTCGAGATTTAGGTCGGGCACAAGTAACCGAATCGACAATCAAAACCTTCTCAAGAACTTGTACTTAGGACGAATGGATGTGCAGTAGGCCCCGGGACCCAGGTCGGGCAGATATGGCTGACTTGGATCGACATCTCGTCGCGAGCCGATATGGCACTTAGAATGTTTCATGTGAAACACCTTCCTAGATGTCACGGATCACTCACAATGCATTGATGGTGGTTCCTTGCGCACTAGACCCTTGGTAAAGTGGTAATGATGCTCACGTACACAGAGGCTCCTTTAGGGAGTCTGATATTTCTTTGGTGATGCAACCACCTGCGCTAAAACCTAATAAGCGGATCAATTTTGTTGTTGCTAGTATGATATTTGTTCTTATAGCCCCTTCGCCTCTCTCTAGGTGATCAGAGTTTCGTGCTTTGTGCTGGCAACGTCACTAGCTTGTCGTCTTCCGTGAACTTAAGGCCATATAGGCACTATGGATCATGTTCCTTGCCGGTCAGAAGGTTACTACTTCATTTTGTGTGTGTTTTAAGTTTGGCTGGGGTTTGTGTCTTATTCAAGAATGTGAGGCGACAATAATACTTTTGTAATTTTATTTTAGGCAATCACATAGATAATAAATTTTATTTTCCAGGCTAGATATTGGTGCACACTTTTAGTGAAGTTCTATAGAAAAGGTTCAACTTCCACAAAGAGTGTAGATGCTTCTACAAGCTCATGCATTTCAACAAGTTTGCTCCGCCGAGACGACATCCATAGGAGGCAACAAGCTTAGCGCCGACCTAATCGGCGCCCCTTCAGGCACTCTTGAATCATGTCCCTTGACACAACCCCGTGTACCGACACGCGGGCCTTGATGGCCGAGCCGGTTGTCTAGGCTTCCCCGTCTCCTTCAGACTCCACCTTCGAGTTCGTAACCACGGAGGAGTATGATGTTGGAGAAGCCGACCAGCCCATTACCGACGAGCTGACACCGATGCACGACACCACTTTAAACCACCTGCAATTGACGTAGGTGATCGAGACTAGACCCATGCTCCCGAGGTCAAACTTTGGGAAACCGGGTCCAGATAGCACACCGGGGAAGTGAATTCCTCGGACCGACAACTAGAAGGGAAAAACCTTCGACCCCTTCCCTCCACTATGTCCCAGCTTCACAGTCGGGGTCATCCACCAAGCTCATCATATGCGAAGCCCCATTGCGACCGCCGGCGATCCCCAACACCTAGGCCAATGCCATCATGGTGCAAGTGCCTCAAAACTAGATGGTCGTCACACACTTAGAGGTTGCGTCCACACCCTGCACCGCCAGGCAGACACGAAGTCCTAGCAAAATACCTTCCCGATGAAGGCGAAGCGGGAGGCTCTAACCTTATTGAAGGTGTAGCCAATGGGATGAACGAAGGTGTGAAGCGTATGATGGATAGCTTCACACCTAGAATGGAGGTAAACTTCCATCACGCCTTAGAATTTTTGCATGATAGTATAACGAGTAGCCCTCAAGGTGCATACCGGCACAAAAGCCGGTATGTGTCGCGAGTCTTTGTAGTTTTACTTACCATTTTCGCGCACTGATGCCACGCGTCACATCTGGCTTGGGACAATCCAGTCTGTTGGTCGTGTAACTTAGTCTTAGCACAAATACTTTGGTGCAGTCTCTCTCGAGACTTAGGTCGGGCACAAGTAACCGAATCGACGATCAAAAATCTTTCTCGGGCAATAACTTGTAGTTAAAACGAAATCGTTGATTCAGTAGCCCCCGAGACCCTGGCTGATTTGGTAGTAATCGACATGAGGATCGAAATCCTGCTCAAGAACTTGTACTTAGGACAAATGGATGTGCAGTAGCCCCTGAGACCCAGGTCGGGCAGATATGGCTGAGTTGGATCGACATCTCCTCGTGGACCGATATGGCACTTAGAATGTTTCATGTGAAACACCTTCCTAGATGTCGCGGATCACTCACAATGCCTCGATGGTGGTTTCTTGCGCACTAGACCCTTGGTAAAGTGGTAATGATGCTCACGTACACAGAGGCTCCTTTAGGGAGTTTGATATTTTTTTGGTGATGCAACCACCTTCGCTAAAACCTAATAAGCGAGTCATTTTTGTTGTTGTTAGTATGATATTTGTTCTTATAGCCCCTTCGCCTCACTCTAGGTGACCAGGGCTCCGTGTTTCCTGCTGGCAGTGTCACTAGTGTGTCGTCTTCCGTGGCCTTAAGGCCATGTAGGCACTATGGACCATGTCCCTTGCCGATCAGAAGGTTCCTACTTCATTTTGTGTGTTTTTTAAGTTTGGCTAGGGTTTGTGTCTTATTCAAGAATGTGAGGCAGCAATGATATTTTTGTAATTTGATTTGAGGCAATCACATAGATAACAAATTATTTTTTAGGCTAGATATTTGTGCACACTTTTAGTGAAGTTCTATAAAAAAAAGGTTCAACTTCCACAAAGAGTGAAGATGCTTCTACAAGCTCGTGTGTTTCAACAAGTTTGCTCCGCTGAGACGACATCTCAGAGGAGGCAACGAGCTTAGATCATGCCGCGCCGTTGGTGGATGCAACAAAAAGAAGACTTCGACACCCAAAGATGATTTTTTTCAATTTCTATAAGGGTGTTTTTGTAAGAACTTGTATTTTCTTAACATATAACCTTTGACCTTTCGCAAAACCAGCAAGAATTAATGCACATATACCATCTTTATCTCTCTATAACACATCTTACGCGTCTCTTTTGATGAGAAGATATTTGAGTTGACTTCTAAATATAATGTACATTGAATCCAATCAACTTTAATAGAATTCCACGAGATATTGAATATCTCCAAAGATTGTCCTATATTTATGCACCACATTAATTTCAGTTGGTCTTATAGAGGTCGGTCGGTGGTCACCGGCGCCACTGACCTACATGTTTTAATTCAAGGGATTTAAAGACTTTTGAAATTATATTCACCTCTGATATCAAAGATCATCCTTGTATCTTTATGTACACCATTGATTGAGCTACTCTTATTATGGACGATCATTGGACATTATTTAGAATCCTTTGATTCGTAGGACTGAAGGACTTAGAAAACTATAATTTTTGAAGATATGAAAGATTGCCCTTATCTTTATGTATGCAATCAATTTGAGCTACTTTTTTTGGGGGGGGGGACCGGTCATCCTTCGTGGTCTAGGGTCTCTTTTGTTCATGGAATTCAAGGACCATATAGATAGAAAAACACATAAATATAACATCATGCCTTCTGAAAGTTAAGTAAATCAAGAGAAAGAACAATTTTCAAAAAAATAAAAAACACTCTCAAAGGCCTAATTCTTTAGATTATTAATACATTCAACTACACAAATCAAACAACCCACAAAAGGAAAATTCTAAAATGGGAGTATGAACTCTAACGAGTGATGGGGCGTGAATGACCTTATCGCAATTACATGTCTCCACGAAGGGTGAAAGTGTATAGTGAGAAGGCAATGGGGTTTTTGGCCTAAAGCCCTCGCTCCCCTCTTCTCCTCTCCCCTGTTCATCTCTTCCTTTTTATTCCATTCCTCTGTTCCCTTCCCCTCCCCTCCCCTCCCCTCTCCTCCCCACCCCATATTAAATCACCGCGCACCTACCTTCTCTCCTCTCCAATTGATTTCTTTTTTCAAAGAAGCAACTTGCGTTTCGGCCTTGCAAGGTGGCGTCGAGGCAAGATTTGGAGCGGAATGTGAGCGGTCAAATCTTTCTTTTCTCTTCGCCGCCTTGTGCTCTGTGCTGCGTTCTTGTTCCTTTGGCAGTTCTTGAGGCGCTGTTACCGTGTCGTGCAGTGTGGCCGCGAGGAGGAGGAGGGGGACGAGGCGGCAGCCATGGCGCAGGATTCGTGGGACGCAGACAAGATGTGAGTTTCGTTCCTCTCTCTGCGCCGCCTCCGGGTTTATTTCAGTGAGCAGATTGCTTTTGGCAGGGAAACATGCTGCCACTTTTTTTTTTAATCTTCACACATTCTCTCTCGATGTATTCGAGATGAGGGTTTCTTCGCGTTTCTTGAAATTTCTTCGTTTCTGTGTGCCTCCCCCACCGTTGATTTCCTTTCGCAGGTTGGTTTCTTCGCCGTCCGTCCCACGCCATTCTTTCTTGTGATTTTTTTTTGTTGACAACGGCGCCTCTTTCTTCCCTTGGTATTAGTATCAGATTATCCGCTGAAAAACAAATGCCCTGCATTATTCGTTCAAGAACAAACGCTTTATTATCCGATGAAATTTCTATTTTCCCGTTCTGCACATTTCCCTCTTCTTTTGCAAAAGTTGCCACCTTTTATCTTCTTTCTATGTTTTCTTTTTCTGCCCTTCTTTTTTCTTCCCGGTAATAGGTCTGTTCCTTGCGTGTCTGCCTTTGATGCTGCCTGCAATGCAGCTGCCTACTGGTTTCCAGAGAGTTTAATGCATCTTTACCACAGTGCTTAAATGCACATTTTATCTCTATCTTTTCCTCTTCCGTTTTTTTTTTTTGCTTCCATCTCCTGTTGTTTCCAGTGCCTGTAGCTTCCTTGTTGGGGTTTTTTTCTGGAGTAAATTTTGCATAAGAGGAGATTTTCTTTAGGTTCTTTCGTGCCTTTTTCTAATTATTATTAACCTTGATGATGTACTGATCTGTGGTATGAACCTAATGTTTGCCATGTGTATCGCTGGCGAAGCAGCTTGGATGTGTACATCCATGACTACCTGGTGAAGCGGAACTTGCAGAACACTGCAAAGGCGTTCCAGGCCGAATCCAATCTCTCTCCAGATCCTGTTGGTGAGTGCCACAACGCGATGTGTATCACGATCAAAGCACTTGCTGCCAGGAAGGCTCCATTTTAGTTTCCAAGCTCCATTTTTCTGCATTAGGGCCAATATTTTGATTCCTCGAGGTATTATTGTTAGGTAGACAGTGCCTTTGTTGTCAGGTAGGCAGTGCTTGTGCGACAGAGATGCATGACTAGAAGCAAATATGCATGCAACTGTTCCAAACATTGTATTGTCTTAGTCTGATTTTACCTATGCAAATGTCTGATCTCTGCTTTCTGAAGAATGAAACTTAATTTTACTGCACTGACATGTGTCACTTTAATTTTGCAATAGCAATTGACGCCCCAGGGGGTTTCCTCTTCGAGTGGTGGTCGGTCTTCTGGGACATCTTCATTTCAAGGACCAACGACAAGCATTCCGATGTTGCTACTTCGTACATTGAGGTTCTTATATGACGCACTGCCTCTGCACATGCATATCAATTTACTTGTGCTGCTGCGGTTAAATGACACAACTTTACAGTAACCATGTAAATGTTTCATTACATTAGTGATACCCACCACTTGCTGCTGATAGGAGTATATTCTCATCATAAAGCATACTAAAATTTCCACATGAATAGTAGGGGCAAAATCCAAGAAACTTTAATTTTACTGTTGAAAGAAGGAAAAAAAAACCTAATCCATCTACCTTGGTTAAATCTTTATGGTTCATTCATGTTTATTTCATTTTTTTGTTGCACAATTAGCTAATTAAAGGATGACAGCGTAACCACACAACTATTGACGGACCTGTGACTTTGGCCAGACATCTTTTAGCATGGGTCTGCAAAAATTTGAGTTGTCTTTCCCATATATATCAACTGGATTCTGTTCAGACTGGTGGTTCATCTGTGATGTGTTTGATTCAAGCTACTTTTAAATAAAAAAAAGGGCAACCTGGTGCATGTAGCTCCCGCTTGCGCAGGGTCCAGGGAAGGGTCCGACCACTTTGGGTCTATAGTACGCAGCCTTTCCCTACATTTCTGTAAGAGGCTGTTTCCAGGACTTGAACCCATGACCTCATGGTCACAAGGCAGCAGCTTTACCACTGCGCCAAGGCTCCCCTTCATTCAAGCTACTTTTAAATATTTCAAATTAAATCTTAAGTTCATGCGCCATACCAAACACCAAAATCTATTTCCAATGGTCCAGAGCCAATTATTTTTATGTTCATTCTGTGTATAAAAGTATAAAACAATAAGTTGTGTTAGTTTAGCGCTTGATAGTAGCTAAGCTCGCATTTATCCATTAGGCTTTTGTTTCTGAGTAGTCAATACCTGTATATTTTTTGTAGCTACCACCTGCCTCCTGCTCTGGAATTGCTTGCCACTGCTAGCTATTATAGTGTGATAATCTTGCATGATCATGAAGTATCTTTTCCATGTGTTTGCATGGTCTTGTTCCCGTATATGACTATAATTTTGTGTCCCAGACACAGTCGATTAAAGCTCGAGAGCAGCAGTCATCATTGCAGCAACAGCAGCAACATCCTCATTCCCAGCAGTCAGCACAGCAGATCCAAATGCAGCAACTCATGCTACAGAGGCAGCAGCAGGAGCAACAACAGGAGCAGACCCAACAACAGCAACAACATCCTCAGCAGCAGCAGCAGCAGCAGCAACGTCGCCAGCAGAAGCAACAGCAGCGTAACGAGAGCAGTTATTTGCCCACAAGTCCTCAGAATGGTTCAGTATCTGCTGATCCTCCAACACAACTAAATACTGTAACAACAAGTTCTTTGTCTGCAAAGGCGTATGAAGAGAGAATGAAGATTTCTGCGCAGAGGGACACATTGGATGAGGCATCAGTAAAGGTAATTCCCAAGTGGCAGTATGTACTGTTGCTTACCCCCTCAAATATTTTTGATATAAAATGATATACATTAATATTTCCATACTAACCTGCACTGCAGCAAAGGTTCAATGAAAACGTTGGGCAGCTTCTGGAATCAAATCCTGCATCTTTGCTGAAGTCCGCAGCATTATCAGCTCAGGCTTCCGGGTATAAACTACAAACTATTTAGTAATGCTTGTTATAGTATTGTATTTACTTGGGGGAGTTTTGTAACACAGACAACTCATGGTCCCGTGACATCATCTATTTTTGTACAGTTGGTAAATGTAAAAAAAAACCCGAAGTTCCAGTTCTGTTGCTTTTTGTCTTATCCCATCAATTAGAGTCTGAGCTGAATTCTCAATTCTATTTTTACTTGCTCATTTTGTACCTTTCTAGTTCCTATGGAACTCTAGTTGTAGGTTCATGAATCATAATAGCTTGTTCCTGCTGTAGTTTTGTTTGCATATTGTTCTTTCATGATGACTTGCTTGTCACAAGGGAGTGGTTTCGGAGGTATCAGAGCTACTTGGTTAAACATCCTTGATATCATGTTTTCGTGCTCAGCAACCAAAAAAGAGTTTTTAATATATTCTATAACTTCATCTTTCCCCTCTTTAGTTTAAGATTATAGGAATTCACTCTTCTAATATATTTCAACATTTCTGATTACCTTGTAGCGAATTTAGATACTATGCATCCTAAGAATATCTCGAAGATGATAATTCAATCTATTCTGGTTAACTGGAAATGCAATCTATTCTATCCATAGTGGTTTTTGGAGTTCAGTTTGAACATCTGAATGCATAAATGCCCATTACAGCTTTTACGTGCTGATCTCAGGACAGAAGAAAATCTATTTGATTGATCCATTAGCATGTTGTCCAGTATTCATTGAGACTATTGTTTTGTTGTAATGAATTATGCAAAGTCATGGGATGCATTTACAAGGTCCATAAGGACCAGTTGCAGCAAACATGTTAGTGAAAAGCATTTCTGTCTGCTGATTGTATGGATGCTGTTATGATGTTTCTGTCTTTAATTTTCAATTACAAGGACATTTCTGTTATGGGTTTCATATCTAAGGGTTGTGATAGGCTTGGCGAGCCAACGTAAAAACTAGCCAGTCTTTTGGGTATGAAACCCATTTGGGAGAGAGTAGTACTAGGATGGGTGACCTCCTGGGAAGTCCTCGTGAAAGGGTTTCATATCTAGCCTACCCCAACTTGTTTGGGATAAAAGGCTTTGTAAGTGTAAGTGTAAGTGAAGGACATTTCTGTTATGTGCATGTATGTTTGATATTATCGCTTTGCTGTTTATATGATTGTTATTAGGGCGCAAATGTTTGGTTTATGGTTTTAGGTAGTTCGTGCATGTCTTAACCAGATTGCTGTTCTTACAACCGTTAGGCAAATATTTCAAGGATCAGCTGGTGGAGTGTCAGGTACTTTGCAACAAGCTCAGGCCAGGAACCTACAGCTTCAGGGATCAACACAGGTAGTCTGTACATGTCTTAACTGGGTTGCTGTTTATTTAAGATATTGTGTTCACTTATGTGCCAGTATATATAAGTTGGTAAGTCTAATTGTACCAGGAAATCAAGGCAGATTCAAATGCCACTCTAAATCTTAGGGCTGCAGGAGCAGACGGATCATTACTTGGAGTACCAGGTTTTTGCCATTGAACTCTAGTATAAATTGATGTTTCTGCTTCCATTCCTGCTTTCATGTGGTTTTCACATCTATATATCCGTAGTCTATTGAACCTGAAAACATATTTTCTATTTTGTAGTAGTATTTAATCATTGATGTTGCAAACAGCTTTCTTTTATCTTGTGTAGAACTTGTATAGATCATTAGGCGTAGATTCGAATATATACAAAAAATGTTATGTCTGTTTAACAGATACAACTTAAAGGTGGTAGGATTTACAAAGAGTACAAACATGCAACTCTGTTTTCATATATAAATGCACCAATCATTATGCAGAACACATGTATCTAATATTGTGGTCTTCTATGCATTGAGACGTTAATATTTGTTGTTTTAATTTGTGTACGGTCAGTGATCTACAGTGTAGGTATGATGTAGGCCTATTCTCTAGTCTCTAGAAGGGAGATTATGTTTCTTAATGCAAAAATGAAAATCTCTGTTATTTTAGTTTTGAGGAATAATTAGGCTGCACAGCTGTCGTTACCACACATATTCTCCATCTTTTTGTTCATGTAGCCTCATGGTTGCTTTTGTGCCTGACTGCTGCAATTTGAGACTCTGACTGCTTGTTAGATGTATCGTTCATTCACATACTGATTGTTATAGTTTAATACTCTGCTGTCTGGCAGGCACTAATCCAGCAGGGCACAATATGACCTTGAAAGGGTGGCCTCTCACGGTTAGTTTTTCACTTGATTAAATCTCTGTCATCTAAATTGTAAATTTGCAGCAAGTAGGATTTCTACATATTTTATGTTCTCACGACATATTTCAATTTTGTCACAACTGTTCAGGGTTTAGATCAGTTTCGATCTGGATTTCTCCAACAGAAATCTTTTATGCAGAATCCCCAAGCATTGCAACATCTTCAGTTTCTCACTCAACAGCAGCAACAGCAGCAACAACTGCTGCTTCAAGCACAACAAAATATTACATCTTCATCTGGAGAGATGGATGCCCGAAGGCTTCGGGTGCTTTTGAGCAGTCGAAAGGATGGTCAGTCAAACGCATTCACAGATATTATTCCTAGTGTGGGGCCTTCACTGCAGAACATGTATTCACATGTGCAGCCAATGGAGACAGATATGCTGATGAAGGTAAGTTCGACGTACCATTTATGTTATACTTTTACTGTGGCTTTATGCATGTAGTCTCACGCCTTGTTTCTTTTCTTTTGTGTCTCCCCATTGGTTCCTGCCACAATACAAATACTGAATTTTGGTCACTGAGCAATCATTCTTTTTAACGGGATCACTCATCGGATTTATTTAAACCTGCCATAAGAAAATATGCCATGTTGACAACTTGGCATTCTGCAGTATCAATTTTCTTAGGAGATAAGTATGTATTACCCTCCTGAGCTTCGTGCCGAATTTGAAGTTCACCCCTGAATTATGCTCAGTGAGCTATCATCGAACTTTATTTAAATTTATCATAAGAAAACCATCCTAGGGTAGTTTACCTCTTGCTTCTTGTTTGTGTGGATGAGATGGCTAGCCTACTCTCCAGCTCCAGGCTGTTTCTGATGTCAGTGGTGAT